GACAGTAAGCAACAACCAACCCATCACACTTACAGTAAGCAACAACCAACCCATCACACTTACAGTAAGCAACAACCAACCCATCACTCTGACAGTAAGCAACAACCAACCCATCACACTTACAGTAAGCAACAACCAAACCATTACCCTGACAGTAAGCAACAACCAACCCATCACCCTTAAAGTAAGTGACGACCAACCCATCACCCTTACAGTAAGCAACAACCAACCCATCACCCTAACAGTAAGCAACAACCAACCCATCACCCTTACAGTAAGTGACGACCAACCCATCACCCTTACAGTAAGCAACAACCAACCCATCACCCTAACAGTAAGCAACAACCAACCCATCACCCTAACAGTAAGCAACAACCAGCCCATGCAATACACAGTTTTTACAATAATACAGAGTTTACCTTCACATGTTTGTGTTCCGGTTCCAATTCTTCTTTCTTCTTTGCTAAATGTTCTTTAGTTTCTCTGTGTTTATTTTTAAATAAAGATATTTGTTCTTCAAGTTTAGCAATTCTTTTAGTTTTATCATTATACACTTTTTTTAATTGTTCAACTTGCTGTGACACCAAGTTGACAACTTTGTCAGTTTCATCAGCTTTCTTACTGATCTTTAACTTTTTCTTCTTGGAATCAAGTTGTAATTTTTGTAGTTCAGCGGAGTCACCAGCAATCCTAGCTTGAAGTACTGTCCTTGAATGCTGTTCATCTTTCAATTGTCTTCTCAGTGCCTCAGCAGTTGTCTATATAAAATAATACACATCTGTGAACAATTCAGCTTATAACAACTCATGTGTTGTTTTGAACTGAATATGTCTTTTATTCTAAGTGTTGGTGACAATGCATTCTGTTCTGCTGTTAACTGACATTTCTACTATATTAGTATTATATGTAATGTACTTTATTACTTACTTTTTATTGCTATAAACAAATCTGTATCCACTACATCGCATAAAATACTGCCCTAGCTGTGTATCCACTACACAGCATGAAATACTGCCATAGCTGTGCATCAACTACATATCATGAAATACTGCCATAGCTGTGTATCCACTACATAGCATGAAATACTGCCATAGCTGTGCATCCACTACATAGCATGAAATACTGCCATAGCTGTGCATCAACTACATAGCATGAAATACTGCCATAGCTGTGTATCTACTACATAGCATGAAATACTGCCATAGCTGTGCATCCACTACATAGCATGAAATACTGCCATAGCTGTGCATCCACTACATAGCATGAAATACTGCCATAGCTGTGCATCCACTACACAGCATGAAATACTGCCCTAGCTGTGCATCCACTACGTAGCATGAAATACTGCCATAGCTGTGCATCCACTACATAGCATGAAATACTGCCATAGAAGTGCATCCACTACATAGCATGAAATACTGCCATAGCTGTGCATCAACTGCATAGCATGAAATACTGCCCTAGCTGTGCATCCACTACATAACATGAAATACTGCCATAGCTGTGCATCCACTACAACAGCATGAAATACTGCCATAGCTGTGCATCCACTACATAGCATGAAATACTGCCATAGCTGTGCATCCACTGCACAGCATGAATACTGCCATAAAGTGCATCC